TCTTTTCTAACAGCTACATAGTACTCCATTGTGTAGATGTACCAAAGTTTCTTTAACCAGTCATCTGTTCTCGGGCACTCAGGTTTTTTCCAGATTTTGGCTATTGTAAACAGTGTTGCAATGGACAAACAAGTGCAGATGTCACTTCGACTATACTTCTTTGCCTCTTCGGGATATATTCCCAGGAGTGGTATTGTTGGGTTAAATGGGAGCTCAATTTCTAATTTTTTGGAGTGGAGAGTCGTTCATACTGTTTTCCAAAAGGGCTGAACCATTAACTGCTACACTTTTGCTCTGCAATCTTTTTCTTTTCTCTTTCTTTTTTTCTTTTTTTGCTTTTTGGGTCACACCCGGTAATGCACAGGGGTTATTCCTGGCTCATGCACTCAGGAATTACACCAGGCAGTGCTCGGGAGACCATATGGGATGCTGGGAATCAAACCCAGGTTGGCCGCATGCAAGACAAACGCCCTACCCACTGTGCTATCACTCCAGTCCCAATCTTTGTTTTCTTAAGGAAGGGAAAACAGGCTGTTTTATGATCAGAAAGAAAAGTGAGCATAGAGATGTGTTGATAGTTGCCCATCTGATTGCTCCAGCTCCCCCCTTTCTGAGCTCAAAACAGACCATATCAGCCATCGATCATGTGGGATGCATTGGGAATGTTTGGGATATTCATACTTGGCAGGAAGTGAGTTGCATGCTGGTGATGCTCTGAATATTTGCAGTTCTTCTGTAGAATAGGAACAGACCTCTGTATCCTAAGTATTGTTTCACCATTTGTCATTGGCATCCCTCCCTCTTGACCCCTAACACACCAGTTTCATTTCTTCCTCCTTCAGCCAGCTGTGACCTTCCCATTGTCCTCCATGCGTGGGAAGACTTGGCCTGCTCAGTGCTTGGCACTGAGTCCTGTTCTGTTCACTTTGTCTAATTCTTCCCCCTGGGTCTCACAGAACTATCCAAAGACTGATGCCTTCCAATTCCATTCTGAGAGGCCAGACCTCTCCCAGACTGACGTGTGCATCTGCCCACTTGGCATCGTCTCCCAGGAGGAAGGCCAGACTGGGGCCTGCTCTCTCCTCCCCCAAGCCCTCCTCCACCTGCCCATTGTTTTCAGGAAACAGTACTAGTCAGCCCCAGGGGTTTTCAACAGCAGAGACTCAATGCCTGGACATTCTCTAGATCACTCTCACATGCAGACAGTCAACATTTTCTAAAAAGAAATAGATACACCCAGTTGTCAGTGTCTCCACCATCTCCATTCCTACTGCCTGCACCCCTCAGCAGTGACTATCATGAGGCTATCAGTTGAAACTTCCTATCTTTCCCCCTCTATCCACTGGTTTCTCTGGAGCAGAATGAGCAAGCCCTCACAACCATCCATCAGATCTCATCTTCCTCCAGTCTTTGTATATGTGGTTGGCCTTGATCCCCACTGCCCTGGGGATGAATCCAGTCCTGCTGCCACAGCTTATAAGATCCAGCACTTCTGTTCTGTTCCGTGTCTCTTCAATCCCTTCTCTTTTCCCTCTGCCCTAGAACATCACATTTTCACCACTCTGATGTGTCTTTATTTGCCTTCAGCATGCCTTAAGGGGACTTGATGCCCATGGCCTTTCCCCAGGCTCTTTCATTGGCATGGACAGTTCCCCCGTGGCACTCTGTTCTCCTTTGGATCCCAAGCTCATCTTCAATGGACTTCCGCAGATGTCTTCCTGGTCACCTACCACTTCCACTTGATTCCTTTCTCGCCATGATTATTAATTCACTCGCTTGAATGCACAGACCCTCTGTTCACTGTACATCTTGCCCTGGTACACAGCACTGTGCCTGTTACTGAGTGTTCAGTAGACTGCAAGTTCGGTAAGGTAACAGACAACTGGAGAAGCAACAGTAGAAGATGGGGAGGATGTATGTGGAAGGGAGAAGAAAGCACTTTCCCCCTTTAGCAATGAAATATATGGTGTGATCAAAATCAAAACCAGAAAGGAAGATCTTTTTCAGATTTTGATCAAACCCTGGTGAGCAAAAAGCAGCTGGAGGGCCAGAAGAATTTTCTGGGGACGTCACTAAAGGAGAAAGTTGCTGGGTCTTTATGAAGAATTGCACGTGAAGACTGCCTCCGGCGCCAAGCTTCTAAGAAACTGTCTTCTCTCCACACATGAAGAATGCCCTCGGTGGCACTTCTCTCGCTTTTTTTACTTTGCATTGTTCAGCTTCCAGGGTGGTTGTAATGAACATTAGGACCTACGTCGTAAAGGAGGGTAGTTGGAATAAATAAGAAGTGACAGGCTAGCTCATTAAAGAAACATTTATTATTGTCTCCTAGGTTTACATTTATTACTAATCAACTCGGCTTGCCTTTTCCTCCTGCCCTCATGGAGCCTCAGAAAAAGGCGGGGTGATGGTCTGATCAATAACGCCTTCTTATCCTCTGGGAAAGAAGAGTCCAATGTCCACATTGGCAACACCGTGGCATGAAAGGGGGAGCTTTGCCATCTGCTCGGGGCATAGGCAACCTTCTGAAGGAGGTGATGATGAGTTGGGGGAGTGATTTTGCTGGGTGGAAAGACTTTCCAGCTCATAGGAAGCACAAAGACACAAAGAAGAGATGGCCAGGAGAGCATAGACTGCAGAGGAAGTGGAGATTGGACATCGGGAGACAGACAGAGGGGGTAACAGGAGGAGAGCCCACCCATCCCCCCAAGAACTGCAGGCTGTTCCTTTCCAGTGCACAAATGAAAATGAAGCACAGATGGGCCAGAGTGACAGTACAGTGGGGAGGGCATTTGCCTTTCATTTGTTCCATCTAGATTCAATCCCTGGCATCCTGTTTGGTATCCCCACACATGACCAGGAGTAACTCCTGAGTACAGAGCTAGGAGTAACCCCTGAGCATTGCCGGGTATGACCCAAAATCCAAAAATTATAAAACAAAACAGCAAAATAACAAAAAGGGGGAAAAAAAGAAAATGAAGCACAGAGACCTCAGGTTTGATCCCTGGCACTGCAGATGGTTGCCTAAGTCCTGCCAGAAGTGAGCTCTGAGTATAAGCCAGGACTAAGGACCACCAATAAGCCCAAGCTCTCCTGAAAGCCTCCCAGCACCACCCCAAATATTTCTTTAGCCAACTTAAACTGCTTTATTTACGATCTATTTCTATACTGGAAACTGGAAAAGTATATGTTTTATTTTCCATAGTATTTATCAAAGTATGTTAAGGCCACTGGATGAAAAGTTGCCCGAAAAGGGCACCCCTAAAGGCATTAGGTAGGGAGCTCAAGCGATAGCACAGAGAGAAGGGCTTTTGCTTTGCACGCAGCCAACCTGTGTTCGATTCCCAGCACCCGTATGGTCCCCCAAGCACCACCCACAGTAATTCCTGATGCAAGAGCCGGGAGTAACCCCTGTGCATCACTGGGTGTGATTCAAAAAGCAAATATAGATAGATAGATAGATAGATAGATAGATAGATAGATAGATAGATAGATAAAGGCATTAGGTAAACAATAACTTAATTTGTCAGCATGTCGATATGCCCATGATGACATTCTCTGGAGTCTCATCTTCTTGATGCTCCAGAAAGAAAGGGCAGTTATTGCCCCGATTTCCTGTCCTGGCAGAGGAGCACTGAAGGCGCAAGCACTTTGGATCCTCGCCTGGCACATCACTAGGAACTACTGATAAATGAACACAGAATGGGAATTTCCAACCTGTGGGAAAGGGGGCAAGCTGGGTGGGGGTGGCTGGGGTGATGACTCTTTCTGACCCCAAAGAGGAGAGGGCAGCAGTTCTGACCATAGTGGACACCTCTGCCCACCGCCCTTTGCCGCTCGCCTCCAGGCTGCTTCTCTCTCGAGCTGTCCACTGCAGCTGGCCCTGTACTCAGAGGCCAAGAAGATGCCACTTTGGTGGCGGGGGAGTGCTCTTGGCACTCCGGGCGAGCAGATCTATCCTCTGACCCCCAGCTTTCCTGCATCTTGGCTCCCGTTGTTTCCTGACTCTTGATGCCAGGAGCCCCCACGAGTCCCGGTGGCAGTCAGGAATGGCACATTTGCAAATGTTTCGAGTCCCACAGGATCCTGTGCGCTTGTTTATACCAAAGCCAGGGCAGAAGCAACAGGGGCAAATGTTTTCTGGTTGTCCCCTCCCCAACCCGCTTTCTCTCATTCTCTCTCATTTAACTCCTTTTCCTTTCTTTTTAAGAAAAACTCTGGGTGTTTTCTTTTTGTTTCTTTTGTTGTTGTTCTTTTTTTTTTTTGTCATGCTATAAAGATGGGACACTCATTAGCAGAAAGGAATCTGTATTCAAGAAAGGTTGGAATAATCGCAGAGAAGTCACAGGGAGACCACAAGAGAGAGAGAGAATCGGGTAGTAGCAGGAAGGCAAGAAGTGTTTCTTGCCCCTTCTTCTAAGGTCTGTTGCGATTTTCTCTTCAAAGCCAAAATAAAATGTCTCTGTCAGGATGCTCGTGTGTGGTTGCATTATAGGGCAGAGCTGATTGCAAAGGCACCCTAAATAGATTGCGCTGAGACTAAAGTTACAAGTGTCTCAGGTTTTTTTATTCAGACCCTGAATCAAAAGAACCACTTGTAAGAGTGCACACCCATTCTCACTTCCTTTAAGGGGTGGAGGGTGGGGAGAGGTGAGAGAGGAGGCCAGTGGTGGAGGGAGTACATACCTAATGGGTCCCAGCCCCTTGCTTTCTAATTCTAGTATGATGACACAGAAGCAGGCCCTCCCTTGTTGCAAGATTTCTATGTTGGACAATGTCAAGGTCCCCTTTGGTGCCCAGAGCATCACCTAAAAGCCAGGTGTTCCCCCCACCCACCCCCCAAGCCCCCTACCCCTGCTAGCCTTTCCCAGGGGATAAATAGCCTTGAGCTTTCCATGCCTCCTGAAAGTCACCTGGGAATGTATTTGCAGAGAATCTACACTGATGCTTGTGGAGCATTCATGCCATACTGAAGCTGACTTTCTACTTTATTTTTTCAGTTGTTCATGGTGGACAATGGAGCAGATGACTGGAGAATAGCCATGACTTATGAGCGTATTTTCTTCATCTGCTTGGAAATACTGGTGTGTGCTATTCATCCCATACCTGGGAATTATACGTTCACATGGACAGCCCGGCTTGCCTTCTCCTATGCCCCATCCACAACCACCGCTGATGTGGATATTATTTTATCTATACCAATGTTCTTAAGACTCTATCTGATTGCCAGAGTCATGCTTTTACATAGCAAACTTTTCACTGATGCCTCCTCTAGAAGCATTGGAGCACTTAATAAGATAAACTTCAATACCCGTTTTGTTATGAAGACATTAATGACTATATGCCCGGGAACTGTGCTCTTGGTTTTCAGTATCTCCTTATGGATAATTGCCGCCTGGACTGTCAGAGCCTGTGAAAGGTAAGTTTATTTCTTTTCCTGAGAACCTCCTTTGTCACTGGGGTGCCTAGAAAGTGGGGGGGAGGAATGTGTTTTTAGAGAGACTTCTTCTGGGCTTCCTGCAAAAGAGGGTGACAAAGCTTTGTTGAAGATGGTTGCATGCAGCTATTTCATGACAATGAGGTAAATTTTCTTCAGGTGTACTCATTTTTCAGTCAAGGGCTTCCCCCAACAAATCATTGTCAAGATTTGGAGATGGACAAATTACAGAGGAGAGATGTTTATCGGAAATATTTTCGCATCGTGCCAGTACGAAATTCATTCTGTGTTGTTTGTAAATGGTGTTGGTGGTGATTGAAAAATACAGTGGAAAAGGAGTGATGCAAGAAGGTTGGAGCTATCGGGACGGTTTTAAGTGTTCTCTGTAATACCTGTTGATGCCCTTTCATGTGATGACTGGAACAGGTAGAAGTGCTCTCAGCAAAGCGTGAGAAGGAGCCAAGTGTGAATTTGTCTATTGTCTGGAGTGATTTGATGATCTCCAGAGCTGCTCAGTGAGACTCATTGGATCAGCGATACTGTCAATGGTGTTAAACTGGCTCTCTAACAAACAACAACAAAATACGCTTACTACAGAAATGGGAGGAACTTTGTCCTAATGGAGGAGGTTGTGTGACTTCGGGTTAGAAAATTCAAGTTGAAATAAGCAATCCTCAGGAATTATTTTGAAGTTGCTAAAATTTCAGGTAGGCAGATGTTGGTCTCTATACTATGTTTTGCGGGGAGCATGGGGTGAGACATACTAAGTGATGCTCGGAGACCCTGGGGGCCAATTCTGCTGGTATTTGTGTTAGTAGTCAGGCCCAGCAGTTCTGGGGACCATGCCATGGTGGGGATCAAACTCAGGGCCTCTCTTCTTACTTAGTTTTTGAAAGTCAAAGTTATATGTGCATGCCATGTGTTGAAGTGAAATATGAGAATTGTTGCAAAGAACTAGTGAACCCCTGACCTCTCTCCACACCCACTTTATAGAAGCAATAACTTAAAATTCACTTAGCCTTTCCTTTGGTAATTACTTTCCATATTTCTAAATGGAATTGTGTGCATTGCTATTTCTAGGTTTTCTTTATCTAGTGTTTATTGAAGTTGGGCTTTCAGGTGCCCCCCCTCACTTGCTCCTACATACCCCTCTCTGCCTTTATCCACCCCAAACTAATTTCAGTTCTTTCAATATGTTGTATAACCACCAATAATTCCTGCCTATGACTATGATGACTGAAAGAATCAACAGGAATATGACAGTGACATGACAGTGAATACAGGGGAATTCTAGATCAGCAGTGAGGAAAGATCCAGAAGCAACCAGGTGGGAACTGACAATCAACCATGGGAGATAATGGTTGAGTTTTGAAGGTGCAACTGCTCAAATGCTCTCTCAAAGCACTCTATACCTAGATTTCCTCTCTGTTCTGTGGGACTGATAATTGTCTTTGGTCAACCCAGCAGGAATCTAGAAGGTAAAAACTGCATTTTTACAGCACATCATCATTATTTTGCCTTCCCTGCATACCTTGAATTTTTTTTTAATTAACAATTGCCTTTCTTGATTTGCTTAGTTTGCTCTGACTTCTCCACATTACAGAAATGATCTTTTGCTTCATGTTTACTCTGTTAAGAAATCTGACCATTTCACTTTGAAGAAATCATTCTTGGAGCTTTCTTTCTGCCTCTCCATCATGGTGGGGATTTCTGTTGTCTGTGTGGTTTGATGAATATCCTTCTCTGAGTCCATTTTCTCCCTCTTTATGGCATCCCTCCCTCACGATGCATCTGCTGGTGGCTCCAGGAAAAGGGAAAGAACAAGAAAGGAGAAAGAGTTGGTTTTTTGTTTTTGTTTTTAACCCATGCAGACTTGAATTCTTTTATCCTCATATTAGTCATGGGATTGGACAGAAAACTTTGAATTGGAAATCATTTTCCCCAGAAGATTTAAAGCTTCATTTTCTTCTTACAACCAGTATGCAGCTTCTGGAAATTTCTCTCTCTCTCTCTCTCTCTCTCTCTCTCTCTCTCTCTCTCTCTCTCTCTCTCTCTCCCTCTCTCTCTTCTTGTTTATTTGCATGTTTCTGGCAGTTTTTAGCTTCAAAATTCTGAATTATGTACAGATGTCTCTTGGTATGAGTCTATTTTAATCCAGTGTTCAGGGCGATTTAGAAAACCTTTTTAATTTGAAGATGCTTCTTGAATTAATTAACTTTTTGTTGTTGTTGTTCCTATTTCTCATTGTGTGCCCACTAACCCACCTAGAGTCATTTTCTTGTTTTATTTCTGTGTTATTTTTCCATTATTTCTGCTCAACACATAAAAGATAACTTCAGTTCAATCTTTCAAACTCCCCATGGAAATCACACTTATTGACCGTGTTTTAATTCCTAATGGTTCATTTTTTATCATTATTTGACCAGTTTTAAAAATAATATCTGGCTGAAGAGTTGATACAGGGGTCAAAGCACCTGCCTTGCATGTGGCTGGCCACTGTTGGATCCCCTCCGCCACATAAGGTCCCTCAAGCACCACCAGAAGTGACCCCTAAGCACAGAGCCAGAAGTAAACCACCCCTCCCTAAAGAAATAAATGTAAGAAATAAAAGTAAACATAGCATCATATTTGACTTTTGTAGCTATTGCTATTTTACTTTTCCCAAGATGTTCATGCTAATTTTTAAAACTTTATATTCTTTGTGTGTCTTTCATTTCCTCAAAGATTCATTTTTCTGTTTTGGTTCCTGATTATTTTTAAAGCTTCGTTCCTGGTAGTAGTCTTGGCTCCCACTGATGAGTGAGGCACTAAAGAGCATATTGGAAGCTTCTGTACTCGCCTAGAACTCAGGACGTGTGGGGCTCAGTAGAGGGAGACTAGGGGAACCTGGAGATGGGCAGCATACGACGCTGCCTTCAGTCTCTCTACATGGTTGGTCTGCTCTGGATCATCCACTGGCCAATGGGAAATCTGTTCTGCTTTCCACTGGGTTGGTCCGAGCCTGAGTGAGAACTTTCTGGAAATAAAAGGACAGGCCAAAGATGAGGTATCAAGAGTAAATATATTTTGTTAATTTCCCTCATTGCCATGCACTGGCCGAATTTCTGAGATGTCCCTGCAGTCAGCCCTACAGACTTCCAACTTCCAGACAAGAACCTTCTAGATTCTTGCTGGGTTGGCCAAAGAAAATTAATTATAGTCCCACAGAACAGAGAGGAAATCTACGTGTCTGAGTGCTTTGAGGGAGCATTTTGGCAGTTGCACCTTCAAAACTCAACTGTTATCTCCCCTAGTTGATTGTCAGTTCCCACCTGGTTGCTTCTGAATCTTTCCTCACTGCTGATCTAGAATCCCCCTGTATTCATTCACTGTCATGTCATTGTCATTTGTTCCTGTTGATTCTTTCAGTTTTTTTCTGCATTTGTATGGTCTATTTTGTATTAATTTGACTTTTGGGGGGGGAGCACACCTGCCAGTGCTCAGGGATCACTTCTGACTCTGCATCCTGGGATCACTCCTGGAGGTTCTTGGGAAACTATATTGGGTACTGGGGATTGAACCCAGGTTGGCCGCATGTCAGGCAAATTCTCATTCTCTGTCTTATCACTGCAGCCCTTTTTGTTTGTACTAAGATTATAATCCCACAAGCAAAAAGTGAAAAGATAACAATTACTTGAAGGAAGGAAAGCCCCAAGATCTTCTGTTTGCTGAGCCCACTGACTTTTCCCACCAAAAAAAAAAAAAAAAAAAAAAAAAGCTGTGGCTGCTGGTTTTTATATCATATATCTGAACCTTATTTTTTCTTCATTTTTAGATTTTCTCTATATAAATATGGCATTTAAGGGATTAAGTTTTCTTTTTAAAGTAAGGTAGTCTCCTTATGGTGATGCTTGTTTCCTAGCAATCGTGGTATTTTTGAGGTTTCTGATATTTTCTGGAGCAGATGCACCTATAAAATTTGGAGAATAAATATGGAAGACCTTAGTTGGTATACTTATTTCACTTACGAACATGACTCTTAAGACTTAGGTCTAGCAACCTAGGGGTAAGGGCAGAAACCATGTTTAACTAGACATCACCTGTATGGGGGTCCTTAATCTCTCTGCTCTCCAGGGCCAAGGAACTAAAATAGCTTCAGAATTGTGCACATGCCATGCATGTAATTTTTAAAACTGGTACATCTTCCATTTTAACCCCTTTGTCGCTAAGTGCAGAAAGCTAAGGCAAGCTTTTCTGAAACAAGCAAAGTTGAATGGCCTTCAGTTGACATCAGATGTTGGTGGGGAATCATCTGGATTCTTATTCATGCGTTAGGAAAAAAAAACCTCTTCTTTTCCCAGATATAAGCACTAAAGCGTGGGAGTTGCCTGTTTCTTATCAAGGATGAGCTCGTGGACAGCAGGTACATGGAAAAATCTCAGTGTGGCGAGGAAGGGAATGACTAGACCGGATGTATACTGGCCTTTCACCCCAGTTGCATGTGCCACTGAGGGGCTGAGATACTGCTGCCTTTTACTTCCCTGCTTCATTTGCAAACCCAAATGGGGTGATGAGCTTTTTTCCTCTGGTGGCGATGGTGGTGGTGGTTGGGAGCAGGGGTGGTGGGTAGGGCAGGGTGTCACATTTGAACATGATAGAAGGAAAAAAAAAAACCCATTCATCAGCATTTTAATAGCTGATTTCCCACATTGTGCTTTCCACTAAACTTCCCACTTTGCTGCAGAGAATTCCCAGATTGTGACCTTGATGTCTCCTGAATCTTATACTTCCTGAACTGTTTTCTAGCTGTTGTCTTCTGTCCTTCTTCACCCCTTTCCCTTCCAGCTTCTCCCCTACCCCTCCTTCTGCCCTTCCTTCCCTTCTCCTCCCCTCCCTCTCTTCTTCCTTCCTCAGCCCTCTCCCCTTTGCTTCCCCATCACTCCTCTCCCATCCCCCCTGCCCCTTCTCCCCTCCCCTCCTTCTCACCTGCTTTTCTGCTTCAT